TTTAAACGTTCCAACATCCGAATTGTAGGGGTACCAGAAAGGGAAGAGGAACAGCCACCAGTGGAAAACTTATTTGAACAAATAATAAAGGAGAACTTCCCCATTCTGGCAAAGGAAATAGACTTCCAGGAAATCCAGGAAGCTCAGAGTCCCAAAGAAGCTGGACCCAAAAAGGAACACACCAAGGCACATCATCATTATATTAGCCAAGATTAAAATGAAAGAGAATCCTAGAAGCAGCGAGATAAGGGGACAGTCACCTACAAAGGAGTTCCCATCAGACTGTCAGCGGATTTCTCAAAAGAGACCTTACAGGCAAGAAGGGGCTGGAAAGAAGTATTCCAAGTCATGAAATCCAAAGACCTACGTCCAAGATTGATCTATCCAGCAAAGCTTTCATTTAGAATGGAAGGGCAGATAAAGTGCTTCTCAGATAAGATCAAATTCAAGGAGTTCATGATCACCAAGCCCTTATTATATGAAATGTTAAAGGGACTTACCTAAGGAAAAGAAGATAAAAAAGATGAACAGTGAAAGGACAGCAAACTCTAACAAACACACCTAAAACAAAAGCAAATTAAGAGGACAGCTAGATCAGGAGTGAACCATAGAAATGAAGATCACATGCAAGGTTAGCAACAGGGGAGTGGGAGAAGGAGAAGGGGGGAGAAGGTGCAGAAAATAAGTAGCATAGATGGTAGGTAGAAAATAGACAGGGGGCAGGGCAAGAATAGTATGGGAGATATAGAATCTAAAGAACTTGAGACACGTGGTCATAAACTAAAGAGGGGAATGGTGGGGGAGGGGGTGTGCAGAGTGGAGGGGAATGAAGGGGGAAATAGAACAACTGTAATGGTATAATTAATAAAATATATTAAAAAAATAAAGTATCAAGAAACTACAAAAAAAGAAGATAAAAAATATGAATAGTGAAAGGACAGCAAACTCACAGTTATTAAGAACCACACCAAAAACAAAAGCAAACTAGGAGGACAGCTAGATCAGGAACAGAACCATAGAAATGGAGATCACATGGAAGGTTATCAGCAGGGGAGTGGGAGAGGGACAGAGAGGGAAAAGGTACAGAGAGTAAGAAGCATAAATGGTAGGTAGAAAATAGACAGGGGGAGGTTAAAAATACTATAGGAAATGTAGAAGCCAAAGAACTTAGTTCATGGACATGTTCATGTGAAAGGTGTGAAAGGATGTGCAGGGCAAAGGGGAATAAGGGGGGGAAATGGGACAACTGTAATCCCATAATCAATAAAATAAATTTAAAAAAACATGAATAGAATAAGTACATCATATGATTGTTTGCGCATTGCCTGCTGTTTTAAATCAGCATATTAAGTAGTTTAGACAGTTTTCCTTGCAAAGGCTGTGTGATGTAATAAACTCCCATGTGCCTCAACACGCGCCAGCACCACCGGGTTATCTTCCATCCAGCTGCTGTTATGATGATGGTTGCCAACTTTCAAACAAATGAAAAGAATAATGAATCAGCTTCAAGTTGGCTCATATGTAAACTTATATTGCTCCCAGTTATAACGTGGGGCAATTTCAACTATAAAGAAAATTAATTAAAAAGATTTCACCCCCACTGTGTGAGAAACATGGCACCACAAATACTGCTGAATTAGTAGTTTAAAAGCCTGCAGCATCAGGTAAACTCCCAGAGTTTGGATTTCAGTCTTAAATGCTGTGGGTTGTTTTAAAGATTGGATTTTTTTAGGAAACAGATTAAAAAATACCTTGTCCCTAATTCATAGCATGAATATTTGAGAAGTGTCACGGTGCTGGAAAAAAATAAATGAGACTTATTGGTTAATGGCTTATTACAAAGAGGCTTCGGAGAAAACAAGGGGCAAATGAAACGGGGCATGTTTCTACAGGAGCTCAACGTCAGAAGGAGAGGAGAGCGCCCAACACACAGTTCTAAGTCAGGGTCATTTTCTGGTATGGTGTCAGGCTTAAAACAGGGCAGCGTGATAGCATTAGACCATTTTACTAAAGATGACAATCTATCGTACTGCATTTTAATAAACACGGGACAAAACAATTTTGTGCTGGATCGGTTATCCACACTAGTGGTTCCATAGAACCCCTGAAACTTTGGTGTTTCCAGGAAGCACTAATCTACTGGGCATAACGCTGTGGTAGTTTTTATAGAAAGATATAAGCAGAGTATCAGACCAGAGATTTGTTTAAAATATTTATTTCTAAATGTCCATCAGAGCCCTGACTGGTGTGGCTCAGCAGGTTGGGCATCATCCCACAAACAAAAATGTTGCTGGTTGGGGTGTGCAAGAGGCAACCCATCAGTGTTCCTTTCCTTCTCTTTCCCTCCCCCCTCTGTAAAAATAAATAAATAAACAAACAAACAAACAAACAAACAAATAAATAAAATCTTTAGGGGAAAAACTGTCCATTATAGTTAAAAATTATTCCCTGGATGAGTGCACTTCCATGAAAGGACAGGAAAACTTTTTCACTTCACTAATAAGCAAAGCTGGGCTATTGTGTCCTCACAGGAATGAGGGCATATGATAAGCAACAGGATGGAGTAGACCAAATATACACTTTTATGGCTGATGAACTGTATAAAACTATGCAAGGATTGCTGTATTAGTAGAGATAATAAGATTTCTTCTTTTTTTCCCAAAGGGTACTAGTAATTTTTCTCAGTCATCAACTCTACATAGCAGGTATATTTTATTGGCTACCTACTATGGTTTTTCAATACATCTTATAAATTACAAAATTACAACTAAGTGTGAAATTGTATACCATGGTTGATTCTGCCTTCACTGCATATATGTAACAGAGTTAATTTAAAAAAAAAAACCCTCTTGGAGAAGTTAAGCGGCTAGACCATACTCTACAATTCCAGTGATTGGTAGCACTTGAAACTGGACCTCTGGGTGGATGGTGTGGGATGGGCATCTTCTCCAGGCATCTCCAGTATCCTCTCCAGAGTACTGGAAGTACTCTAGTACTGGAAATACTAGAGATCCCTGGGTAGAGAGAATACTTGGTCCCAGGGTCTTCCAGCCAGATGGAATGGCTCAAGAAAAGCTACATGGACACCTCATAGTAACTCAAAACCAAAGAGAGGACAGACTCTCTTTTAGCCCAGGAATAAAGACATGACACTATTTTCTAATACTTTGACATGATCATCACTGACCTTATATTATATAGCTCATGGATGTTGCTGAAACTGTTCGAGATGCAACGAATTTAACAGGTCCTTCTTTGGAGCAACATAAAAGCCTAGAACTTGATGGTGAAATTGTTGCCCAGTGAAGCAGACACAGTGATTCCCCCAACAACTGAGTCAGCACTCACCCAAATAGAGGTAAAAGAGAGGTGTTGATTCCTTAACCTCACTGTGTCATATTAATGCAACAAACTCTGTGGAAAGTGTTCTAGTGCATTCTGCACTACAGGATGCATGCCTGCACTTGGTCAAGTCTTGTACAACAGGTACAAATTGTGTGCATTATCTATTACTGCTCTAGTAAGTGAGAAGCCAGAAATGTCACAGGCGCAATGATTTCTTTTCATCTTTAAAAACATTCTATTCACTAGCACCAGTGTACCGAAAAGGATTCTTTTACATGAGATAAGTTTATAAACTAGAATAAATGCAAAGGATACATACAGGCCAACAACAGACAGACCCAACATAAAAATCCTTATTCTTTAGCCTTGATCTCAATTCTGTTCAAGATCAGAAAGTAGTAGAGGTGGTAGACATTCGTTATTATTCCATTTTCTACTTTGGAGGCTGTATAAACTTCATAATCATAATTATGAAATCCTAGAAAAATATCTACTGTCTATTCAATGATTTGAATATTCAAACAGCTAGCTGTGTTTGTGTGAAGGCACACTGGGTGTCTCTATTTCTGGTGGTTAGGATGATCAAGAAATGCCTAGAGGTAAAGAAAATGAAATTTAGAAAGACACATAAAGGAAAGATGAGGAAGGAAGGGGAAATTAAACAGAAGAAAAAATATTTTCAAAGATTTGTACATAGCCAGGATAAGTAACTAATTGATAGTGGAAAAAATAATTGCTTACAGTTCATATAAAGCCATTGTATCCATAAACTACATGGTACAGAGGTACATAATTATAAACAAGAAGATGGAAATGAAAATTTGCCTTAATTAAGAAAAACAACAGAAGAAATAATTATGGGAAAAAATTACGGAAAGTAGGAAGATCCATGCCACGAATATGCCAGATAAATGATACATCCCCAGAGGGAGAAGGCTGCCTTAGACTTGAGAAAGTTCTGCATGACCTTGGCCAGTGCCACGATTTCCTGCCTTGTATAATCACAGAAGGCATTCGATGTTTGTTGATGATGAGAAGGATGATTTTGAAGAATGTAATTATGGTCAGCAAGTGTTTTCTATGGAACCAAAATTATCATTTATGTCCGAGACTGTGCAAAATGTCTTAATTTTGGTCAGTAACAATTTGAACTTTAAAAAATAGAATCTCCCAAACCTCCTTATAAATCGCAATTCAAGTAAACTACAGGGATAGTGAGTAAAAGCAAAGATATTCCAGATACTCTTCAAGAAATGCTACTTAGAAAATTACCTATTTTGTAGTAACACGATGTGGCCTACCTCCTTGTCACAACCAGATTACAAATTCAAAAAGCCACATTAAAGGTGATTTTAAGCAGAGAAAAGCTTAAAGCAGTTTTCATCTACCAGGTCAGGCATAAAAACGATCACAATGCACATTACCTTAGAGAGATGGGCAATCGCACACAAATTATTGCTGAATCATGTCCAGATGGAAAGGTGGATATAAACTGAAGAAAAAGGAAAAACCACATCAAGGTGCCTAAGGAAACTCAAAGGCTTTGAAAGCTTCAAAAGTCTCACCTTTACTCTGGTAGCTTTAATTGTGGCTACAATAAGTGCATTTTGAAAGAAAAAAGAAATGGTTATTTTCTTAAGTGCTAACAGACTTACTTCTCCTTCAGAAAATCCACCACTCTTTTGAAGTCAGCCACGCAGTACTCCCTTTTCATGTCCATGAGCACGGTGTCAGAGGCAGACTGGACTGGTATGTGCAGAAAAGCGTAGACTCTGGGATGATTAAGGATTTTAGCCATTTCCTTTAAAAAAATGGAAGGAGAAAACATTAATCATCGTAACAAATCCGAGAACGGTTTCCCTCGGATCAACACTCACAAGTGGGAGCAAACAAACAGTTGAAAACAGACCAGTCATCTAGGCCCTCAAAGCGAATGTCAACTGGCAGCATTCTATGGTGACATCTGGGGATTTAATATTCCTTCTGGACAAACTCCACTTAAAGAGTTATTTCCTCACATTCATCATCTCTCTTAGGTAGCAAAACAGAGATAAACTCGTGTAATGCCTGAAGATTAAAAGTATTTTTGAGTATTTCAAAGTAAATTCTTTTCTTTTCCCTCATAGCAGTTTTATATTCTGCCTGTTGCATTAGCGGGAGAAACAACAATCTGGGGTGGGCAAAAGTAGGTTTATAGTCGCAAGTACAAAATATAGTTTATTCCTGTATTATTCAAGGCACATCAACACTTTATTTTTTTAATATTGAAGAAGGAAAAGTAATCTATAACTCACCTGTTTCTTTTTCAGCTAGCTAACGAACACATTTTTTTTTTTTGAGAATTTCCCAAGCAAAAGGCAGAGTATCAGACAATGCAGCTTGCCACTAGTCAGTAATCTATGTTCAAGATGCAGAGTTTCAAACAACAGAAGTAAGGGGAGAACAGGATGAAGAATCTGTCTTGCAAAGTTAAGGAGAGAACATTTGAGTGAAACAAATTAGAAAGCACAGATTGTTTTAAAATTCCTCCAAGGATACAGAGGGAGTAAGAAAAAGACTAATAACAGAAAAGCCTTGGTAACTTAACCATCTCTGCAAACAATAAGAAAATTGGCTAATTTAGCTCTCCTCCACTGCTGTAAGCAGTCTCCTCTTCAGTGGTGGGGGCGGGGGAGAAATGGAGGTGAAGGGGAAAAGGAGGGAGGGAGGAAAAGATGGGGCAGAAAGAGTGCAAAGAACCTAACAGAGATGTAAATGTCAAGAAAGGAGCTGCTTTTTAATAACCTGCATGAGTCCAGTGATTTTTAGTTTTCAAAGTACTGTACTTCAACATATTATTTCATTCTACCCTCAGAACAATACTTTAAGGAATCTGATGGAGTCCATGAGCCAGACGATTCTGTAACAGTAATCTCCCAGCTCCTCGGCGGGAAGTCTTGCACGTGTATCAACCATGCCCTCTGCTTCTGTCTGCTTTCCGCTGACTTTGAAAACTCGCATTTTTGCCAAAGTGGAAGAAAAGGGCAATGAACTCAAATCAGTCGCCTTCTTGGTAGCAGCTTAGTTATTTTTAAAAGTGCTTTTGACTAAGAAATTAAAACAAACAATATGACTCTCGGGTATCCTTTACTTACCCTCAATGCCAGAAATTAATAGGTACTATATATACACCTCATTATATTTGCTAACTATGTTGGAACTGTAGTTGAAGAAATTCTTATTTAGCAGAAAAATAACTGATTAACATATCACCTGAACATTCCCTTCACAGAACTGGATATTTAGTCAGTAGGCTTGCTGGGTGGCACTCATTATGATGTACCCTACAGGGGATATGTTGGCCTTCTGCTGTATTCTCTGCCTTTCAAGTTTTTCACACCTGAACATCAAGATCCCCAAACAGTGCGGGGGAGTGGAAGTTGCTGCACAAAAATGTTAGTTTTCTAAAGGGGCAGGACACTCAGAATTATTAACTTCCAATACGTTGTAATATGGCCTTAGCAACACAATTTTCACTCTCAATCTCTGTGCCTTGGTTTTTTCATCTGTAAAATGGAAACCATGGTAATCCTCACCTCAGAGTGAAAATAATATAAAATAATCCAGCATGTGCTTATTTAAATATCTAATCATATTCCCTGGAGAGTATTTAAAGTTCTCCAGGAGCACATTTTCATACACATTAATGGAAACCCATCAATAAATAGAGCATCTTTTCAATACGCTAGTTCCCTTAACTAGTAAGTAGAGATAATCTGTATTGATTTACATAAGATAGATTTGACGGACATTCCCAGCAAACACGATCTTGCCCCAGGCAGAAAGGGAAGTGCAGTTTCTCTAGGAAACGCTCAGGGTGGCCCACTACCACAAATGGGATGAAGCCTGCCCTGCTACAGTGTGATTTACAAAGCAAACTGTTAATAGCAACCAGGGGGATAAATTTGGTGGTTTTCCCTTTGGCTCTCAAAATAGGACTTCTCCATTAGTAATTACCTCAGCTTCATGCTACAGACTTTGCAACTTTATATAGTAGGTACTAGAACAGGAAATAAAGATAAACTTGCCCCTACATTAAAGTCTGTATTTCCCTTACTAAAAGAACTATGACTTAGCATAATGTACCTGAAAGAGACAAAGTATAATTTTGGGGTTTTTTTTTCTTCTATTCCTATTCTCATTCAGCACTGTTGGTTGAAGGTAATCTCTGATCTCTTCTTCACTTTTCAAAATTCTTCTATTTTTAAGGTTTAGCATACAGCTACAGGTTCTCCTGTGAAAGACATCACCTTTTCCTCTATGAATCCTCCTGTTCCTGGAGTTACCGAAGTGTGTCCTCGGTTCTCTCCTGCAATATGGTAATAAACCGCCAAGACAGAAGCTCTGTGAGAGCAGAGGTCATGTTTTCATCCTTTCTCTGGTTCTCTGCAATGTCTAGGCCTGTGCTAACGTGAATATAATAGTTCAGTTTGGCTAAACCAGGAGCATTAGCAAGTGCATATTCAAGCAGGTAAACAAGCATATAACCAGCCTGCCTTGATTTTTGGAACAAGTGAAAAATTATATGTGAATATATAAGTTAATACATACACAAGCAAAAATCAGACACTTTATAGGTAACTCCACCATGGAATATATTTCTGAAAGTCTGTTGGAGTTTCAGATTGGACTCACAGCTTACGTTGTGGAAAAGATATACAGGGCCCAGGTTAAGCAGAAAAAGGCAGCACCCAGTTCAGTGTAGCTAACAGAAGAATGGTAGCCGTGAGCCAGGTGGTGAGAGACTCTGAGCGGACGGGCAAGCATGCAAGTGGGCCTGTGTACACACAAAGGGCGTGTGTGTGTGTGTGTGTGTGTGTGTGCACGCGCGCGCGTCGAGGAGGTCTGGTAGCAACCAGTATGCAAACAGCATCTATTTTAATATAAGGGCATTTATAATTGAAGGGGGGATGTATCAAGACTGCTTAAAATACAGATGGCAACTATTTTATAGCAGAGACCAGAGAATGGCTAACCAAACAGCAGTATTTCTACCTGGGGCTTTTACATGGAGCTCACCTATTACAAACTGGTAATCATCTCAAGGTTTGTCCTTTCTTAAATAAGCTTGAAAAGCAAAAAAAAAAAAAAAAAAGACTTCAGTAAAAATTGGCTAATTTAAAACAGCAATCCTGTGTACAGAAACATATATATTTTTTAAATCCTATGTTTCATTTTTATTGCCCTGCAGTCATCAAATTAATCATCATATTCTACCTCAGTTTAATGAAGCCACTCAGTGTGAGTGTATAAAATAAAATATATTAATACTTGCATCCAGATGTCTTTGCATTCACACTGATAATCATCAATCAGAAAGCCTCTTAGACCATAGCTTCGTTAGAAAGTATCTGCATGTTTAAAGCCCCAAACTTTGTTATGTTGCTTTCAATTGACCTAAGATATATGACGGAAAAAGACAACACTTCAGGAACAGGAGAAACTACACCATTACCTGTAAACGTTTTTTAAATAGCTTATGTGAGATAAAATTCACATATCAAAAAATTCACTCATTAAAAGTATGCAATTAGACTTTTAAAAAATATTAGTAGTACGGTGCAACCACCACACAGTCTAGTTTCAGACTGTTCTCACCCCCCCCAAACCTGTCCTGACCAGCATCTCTTCCCACTGCCCCCCACTCCACAGTTCCTTTGCCCGAGGCCCACACAACCACTACTTTACTTTCAAGCTTTACAAAATGCCTGCTCTGGACATTTCATATAAATAGAATAAAAAATATATATCATTTGTAACTGGTTTCTTTTACTCATAATGTTTTCAACGGTCAACCATGATGAAGTACGTGGGCATTTTTTTCAATTAAATAAAACAGGAACTTAGAGTTTATTAAATATGTCATTTTATGCAAAGCTATTAGCTTGAATAGAAGAATAGAGGCAGGGCTATAAATGATCAATTTGGGGGGTTCCTATTGTTTTTTGTTTTATTGTGGTAAATAGATGAAACGTAAAATTTCCTATTTTGATCACTTTGGGATGTATAATTCACTGACATTAAGGACTTTCAGAATGCGGTGCGGCCATCGCTGCCATTAGTCTCCAGAACGCCTTCACCATTCCAAACTGCACTCTGTGCCTGCCTGCCCTCCACTCTGGGGAATCCTATTCACTTTCTGTCCCTATGAACACATTATTCTTGGTACCTCACAGACGTGAATAGCAAAGGTCAAAATAGCAATGCTTCTGTTCTAGAACAGCCTACTTCTGAAGAAACCTTAACACTCTCAAAATCACAGAAGTCAAGATAAAATAAGACTGGAGTCATATTTTAACCATTATTTCACTAACGATACTGTATAGCCCCTAAGTGAACTTTCAACAATCTAAAAATAAATTATCATTTAACAGTATCACAGTGAATGAGGAAGCAGCATGAAAAAAGAATACTTCCATCCTTATATCCTAAATGAAAAGATTAGATATTGTGAACAGATACTAATATAAATTTTATCTATAACTTTATTATAACAGGAAGTTCACCTCAAACTGCAAAGAGTTAACATTTTCAGTATTAAAATAAGTTGAGACAAAATGTTCTATCAGCTTTCACAGAAATGTTAAAAGGATTTCAAAGCTCCTTTTACTATTACCGCTTTATCTGTCAGAGTCAATAATTAGACATTATATTATGGAGATAAAAATATACATTAAAGATTCCAAGATGGCAGCAGAGTAGATGGAAGCTACTCAATTGCTCCCAGAGCCAAACCAGATTTACAGCTAAATTACAGAGAAA